CGATTTCAAAAAGACATATTATTTTAATATAGTTATAATTGATGTCTACTTAAATAGTATATTTGCTTACATTCACATAAATTATTATTTGATTTTTTATACTAAATTAACAATGGCCAAATATATTTTTGTTGTAACTGCAACTGTGTGCAGAAAATATGATACCAACTTAAGTCTAAGAGTATACTTTTTATTGCTTATAATATGTATATTATTGATCAAAATAATGAACTTCACAGTTTAAATATTAAAAATGGGCAAACTTCAAACACGAAATGTGTGTCGTAGGCTTATGTCATATATCATAATGAAACAACAGTACATGATGTATTATGAGCTACGAAGTCTGATGGGCAATAAAAAAAAATTAAAATARTATTATAGCAAATATAATATAATTAAATACATCGTTTGCAGATTCTAATCGGGTCAACGTTATTTCGTCAAACAGAAAATATCGAATTTAAACTTTTTAATTTCAACCATTCGTTGTATGGAAGTTTCATCACTCGCGCACAAATATATAATAATATTATTATTATGATCCGTTGATATAATATTATACAGTGCGTGCGACTTTCGTCGTCGTTTTATTGCTAATAATGAATTTATTATCATGGAAACTGTGAAATTTCTAAACATCAATAATAGTAATAATATGTGTCACTTTTTAATAGTTCGTCTTGAGACACTCACTCGTAACGATCTAAAAGAGCTGTCAGCTTTAGGGCTTGCGGTTGACTCGGTAACGTGTGCCGTTTAAAACTGTCAGCCTTGCGGGACCGTGCAGACGTTACGGGTTTCGCTTGTCCGGGACGCCCAAAGCAGATCATTTTTTTTTATTTATATATTGATAATAATATTTTATACTCAAAAGCGAATAAGAGCAATCAAGAAATGAACGACTAACGAAGTGATTGTGTGATGAAATATTGAACAGTATAAACATAATATTATCTTCGGTTGCCGATGGATACCTACGCATCAACATAATACCTATATCTTGCAGRAAGATTTAATATATTAATTTGTCGACTACAATATTTATTAATATGTTAAAATTCTCAAAATTCAAAGTCTCTAAGTCTGAAAATTCGATTTTTAAGAGTGAAATTTCGAAAAAGTGGCAAAGAAAACYTTATCCACGAATTCAAATATGTTTTTACTGATTTCAGAAGTTCCATCCGATGTAGCTAGGATAAACATTAGACGGTGGAGTTGGAACAATATACGCCTAGGCTTATATAATTGGTAGAAAACAGAATTTCCAAACAAAATGTCCTCATAATAATAATAATAGTTGTACGTACTTTTACACGCGATTTACTTATCACGAGCGTATATATTATTATTTATAGCGTTTTCCATCAGAGTGCACTGACTGCACCATCGGCAAGATTAACGTGCACCGAGTCACCTCAATGCACCCAGTGCAATAATAATCGCACGAGCTTCATGGTAAGTACCATAATACCAATTAAATATTTTAGTATCTTAATGTATCAGTGATAACTGATAAGTATATAGATTTCATGTTTCATCTACACTTGCACCATTCTGCACTAGGACGATTATCAGTGAACTGTACCAGTGCCTGCRCGTTGGTGCAATAGTGCGGTTATAGGTTAGGAAAACGCTAGTATATTGAAGAATGTTCCAATGGCGTTTCGATAGCGTTTTCGAAAACACCRGTTGGAAATAAATTATAATATTATATTTATAAACACTATTTTGATAAATTTTGGAATTTTCGGAAAAACACTAAATAAATGTTCATTTATTACTCGCAAAATGTAGACATCCCGAATACGCCATGTCATATAAACTGCCCAAACATTACTCCTTAAAAAAATAATATACCCATATACATTTTCACCTATATATTTAAATGAGTGGACGCAGTTCTGTCGAGTTGACAAAATTCAAAATTCTTTTGGCCGTCTCGGAAGAGGTTGCTAACTCTTGTACAGTGTATACTCAGGAAGTTTCAGTTCGATGCGCCGTTTAATGAATTGTCGACATTCTGTTAGTATATGTTTGACTCTAATTAATGATTGTTCCCCACGTTGGACACGAAGGTGTGTCTTCATTGGCCATKAGTTATGATATTATGATTTCTACCTGTACGTATTGTACAACGATTGTGTTGTAATATTTGACTTGTGCTGTATACTTCGTTGTTTTCCCGAGTGTTCGAATCGCTATCGGTCGTCGCAAAACAAACACCATTATTGTGTTATCATTATCAATATTTGATTTTTTTTTGTATTGATCTTGAAATTAATTATTAATWATTTCTTCTCCGACATCTGAGGCCATTAGCATATATAAATGTATATATTATTGTAAATTTGTAAAGTGTAGCCGCTGGGTTACTCTTTTAATCAAGTCATTCATAAATCATACTTATTATAATAGCTCATATCATAGATTAAATTTAATAGTATATTTAATCTATGCTCATATTCTTATTGTAAAAAACTAATTTACAGATTGTATATTAGGTATATTATAATAAAAATATAAAAATGATTAATTATTACAGTTGTTGGTTTTAAAATCTCATAGAAATTTAAGAATTTGTGTTGCATTTGAAGAAATGTACGGTGCTTACTTCGTCGTCTGGATTTAGACCAAGACTTGTTCCGTAATTATGGTCACGAATAAATCTCGCGCGCAATATCATTAGGTATATGGGTAGGTAGGTAAAATAGGACAACACTCATCGAAAAACCGCGCACCAAACAATGTATTAATATTTTTGTAAAACCAGACACGTTCCGTTGTTATTAATTTGTCAACGTCAACTATAATAACTCTATATTGGGGAGTGATAGTATTATAGTGATAATGTATTATATTAATATTTTTCGGATGCAGTTATGGCGGCAGCGGTGTTAATTTAGATGTATTAGATATGGATTTTCTATAATATATATATATATGTATATATTGCAAGCCAACAGCTGCTTTTCGCGGAACCCCCCACGAACAACAATTTGCGGGGAGGGGGAAAAAAGGAAACAGGAATATTATGTAACCCTCTTTCCAAATTTATGGATTTACGTAGACCACACAATACTTGTTCTTAATCGTGATTTAACGAGCACTACAGGGTGTCCCGCGACGATTTACCCATTGCGATATCTCCCGAAATAATGCACATATCAAAATTCTGGTTTTGCAATAACACTCGCGGGGGGATAAGAACTACAATTATTTCGCTTATTTTAGTGTTTTGGTAAAAAGTTGAAAGATATATTTTTTTATATTCAATTATTTCCAAAAAAAAATTCACTACAGCCATTTTGTAGAGTTTATTTTTCAGAAAATGATGACGTTTCAAAATTTTATTTCATTCATTTGCTGATTAWTAGTTTTTTTTTTTTAATTTTGWGAAAAATCGTGAATAATTTAACACCGGACGCTCGTACGCCGACCGAACGCTTTCATTGTACCTATATAGCTAAATGTAATCATATTTTATTACTTCAAAACTAGAAAAAATATTAAAATCAGGAAACTAATGAAAATAAAATTTTGAAACATCCAAATTTTCAGAAAAATAAACTCTACAAAATGGCCAGGATTTTTAATTCCTTCGGAAATAATTTTATAAAAAAATAAATTTTTGACCGAAACATTAAAAATAATTTTAAAACGAAACAATTGTAGTTCTTATCCCTAGGAGTCTTATCACAGAACCTTTTTTTGACCGCAGAAATTTCGTGAGATATTGTAATGGGTAAATCCTCGCTAAACACCCTGTATATATATTATGTAATATGTACCCCCACAATGCTCTGCGCATATGAAAAGTCGCTGTTTTTATTTTTTATTTTATCATCATAATATATTTATTATTCAAAAATATATTGAMTTTTGATACGACTCAACTGCAAATTTATAACAATAATAATAATAATATTTAATAATAATTAGTCTCATGATGCATCATCCGCTCCTATATAAATAAAATAATGTCCTTAGCAAATGATGAACACATTGATATTTTTGATTTTAGTTCCGTCGATTCTTTCAACATTTGTGAAAAAAAACCCAATTTTTAGGTTTACAATGCGTAAAATTTTGATTTATTTCAATCAATTAATTTGGCCGATGTAGGTAAATTAGTTGTATTTTTTTTTTACCAAACGATATTTCAACTATATGTGTTTTTGTTATGTACTTATATACAAATTTAATCGAGTTCTTAGTTTCTTACACATCAATAAATAAACGAAAATTAAAAATTATGCCCTCTAGAATGCGGACATAAAAAACCACTGTTTTTAGTATTTTTATTTTTATTATCATAATATATATTCGAAAATACATAGACTTTTGATAAGACTCAACAATTATAATATGGTAATAATAATATTGCATGGTATRATATTTAATAATAATTAATCACATAATACAATATAATATATTTAGGCGTAGGTACGTTATCTTTTTTCAATCTATTATATAATATTATTATAACGACACATTGTTTTTTGATTGAAGCTCGTCGTATCGGTGTTCATCTATTAATAGAATGTTTTTTTTTCTAAAACTACACAACAACGAATATATTTTAACATTCAAAAATATTTTCTGCGAAATTTCATACACTTCTCGTTCGATTCAAAATATTTTTGCTATCTATATCTAGTTTAATTACTTAGGTACATATATAGGTGTTATAAATGTGTTCACACTGAAGGTTCTCCAGGGGTTTTTTTAATTGGGTATTTTTAAAATTTTTTTTTTTAAATCGGGAAGCGGGATAAAWACCAATTAGATAGGTATTGTATTTTATTTTTTGCATTGTAATTGAAACTATTATGAACTGTTGTGAAGACAAATATATGCATAATATTGTCTTTATATTATCTATAGGTAATTTTGGGATAAAATACAATTATTTTGGATTTTAGACTGTTAAAAAAAAAAATGTTATTTTTTCTAAGAACTCAAGTAGGTACACATACGATTTTCGGATTTTCGGATTTTCGGATTTTATGATGTTGAAACTAGTTTCCCCTGACTTGGTGACTTAAGATTTATTATGATTTAATTTAACAACGAGAAATATAATTTTACTCGTGACTTCGAGCAAGTTTTCAAGTACATATTTTATACGGGTTCACAGAGTGTATCTTAATTTTCTGTGTTTCTCCGTCTCATAATAATATTTAAGGCAAATCTTTGTCGTAACTTTTAATTTTGTTTCCATGTACGATTATATTAAATTTTTTATTTTTTATACGTAGACACCTGTTGTAAAACACCTATCGAYGTATGTCAAAATACATTCTGTGCCGGTTGAAATGGGGAAAACTTTAAGAAAATTTCTTTTTCTTCTCAACTAATCTTTAGCTATCCTTAGTAACCGATTCAATCTTTTTGTCGGTTTCTAACGCTATCGATTCAATTTCTTTAAATAGCTCTTCGGGTCGTTCAATGTCCTTCACGTCAGTAATCTCGTTGTACGAGTCCAAACGACGCCTTACTAAATCATGGATCATACCTAAGAACACATTATAACGATAATAAATAAATAATTTTCATCAAACTTGTCAGAAATAATGTTTTAAAAAATGTATTATACGAGTACAATAAAAACCTAGAAAACTTTCATCACAAACGTGCAATAATCAAGGGTTACAAATATACAACACTATTAATATGTTTTATTGTCCCTTTATAGCTAGAAGATTCAAGATTTTAACGATTTTACGTTGATATAGATATTTGTATCACGTTTTTAAATAACGAATTAACTAATTTTAATTTATGTGTTTATCTATAGCTATATACTCTAAAATGTCGTTTTTATCAATAAATAATTCTGTGCATGTTTTGAACAGAAAACATGTAGTTAATTGCCATACTTTTAGTAAGGCGATTTATTCTTTTTCCGAACACAAAAATCGACCTATGGTTTGCAACGTCAGTAGTTTCGGKTTGGATTTAAATCGTAAACAGATGATGTGTGTTTGTGCTGAGTTATTTAGTATAATAATAGTAATGATTATAATAGTTGTTTAAACTTACATGACTTCATTATAAGTCATTATAATACTTTGAACCCCAGAAAAATTGCACGAAATTTACGTTTTTGTCGAGAATATTATTTTAAATGACCAAACAACAAATAAAGAATGGTGTGATGATGTGTATACCTACATACGTGTTATTATTAATTCGTCTAATTATTTTTTTTTACCCATGTAAAACAATGTTTTTACGCGTTCGGCAATAATATCATATCATATTTTATTATATGCTTCGATTTTACTAAATATCCATAAAAGTAGTCGTTCGTACTTTTCAAAATGTCGTCGCTCTCGATGTGTTTCGTTTTATCAGCTTGCAGTTCTTTCGTCAGCCATTGCACGAATTCCGGACCTGTTGACGATATAATAATGTAGTTCAAACAAAACTGGAGTATGGTCGAGAAAATGTGTTCTTACTTTCTAATTTATTAGTGGTCGCATATGTGGCGAGTCCTTTTTTACTCAGATCGTCAAGTACTTTGGGCAACAAATCAGTCACACGGCCCGAAGTCATCATTGAAGAGATTCGTTCTTTTTCATTTTTCTCCCCTTTATCAAACATTTGAGTGTGTTCAGCCTGCAACGAATTAAATATTAATCTCATGTTGATATGATAAAATTGAAGCGTACCTATCGAGGTTCAAGAAATAATAATCTAATATACTATATGTAGGTATAMGTATAGTAAAACTTTGGGTAGGTAATATTCTTTTTAACTATATAAGTGTAGTAAATCTTATTTTTGTCGAAACCTATATTTCTGTTTATGTAATATTTAATCCGTAGAAACGAGTGCAATATTATATTATATTTTTAGATAGCCARCATATTTTTTCTACGCGATTCGACGAATGATTTATTTACCGTCGRCTAAATAAAAAATAAATTAAAAACGCATTTCTATTTTTTTTATTTCAAAAACAATGTTGTATTCTTAACTATTAAATTTTATTAATATTTGAGATCGGAGTTTGAAAATCTGATAAAATATTTATTAATATTTTGATACCGTGAATGACTGGTACGTGTACATGGTGGGTCACGGGCCAAAATTAGTGTTAGCCGTTAGGTTAGGTACCTACTAAGTGATCATTTTTGTATGTGACTGTGTACAWAATAAATAGTGAAGTGCACAAGTACAAGCCACAGGCACGTATACGGATTGGGAGAGGGGGTTGAAATCCAATATATTGGTCTAATAACACGATCATATTTCAGAAAACTTATCTGAAATCGTTATGTCTACTATTGAGATCGACCAGAATCCACATTTATGATTTATGATTTATCGAATAATCAACATTTGGAAATTCCGAAATTTCAAAATATTCAAATTAAATTCATAGTGATTGGTAGAGGTGGGGTTAAAATGCGGAAAAATGGGATGACCGAGCTCAAGTAGACATAATAACGAATTCTACCATTTACAAAAATATTGTATTCTCAAATACTTAAAATCAACCAATTTATATAACCTTATACTTTACCAAAATGTAAAACATTTACCTAAACCATTTTTTTCTCAAATTTTTCAATGATTAAAGCCAATAATTTTTGTTGTTGAGGCTCGTTTAAATAATAAAAAAATATACATACAGAGTGTCACGCGAGGATTTAACCATTGTGATACCTCACAAAATAATGTAAATATCAAAGTTTTGGCTATGAAATAAGACTCACAGAGATAAAAATATTTTTTCTAGTTTTGAAGAATTAAAATATGATGAGAAGTATTTATAAGCATTTATAACTAGACGCACTGAAAGCGTTCGGCTGGTCGTACGAGAATACGCCCGGGTCACATGATTGATAATACTACGGTGTTAAATAATTCGTAATTTTTCTCGAAACTAAAAAACAATTAAAAATCAGGAAATGAATGTAAATAAAATGTTGAAACGTCGATATTTTCAGATAAAAATAAACTCTAGAAAATGGTTATAGCCAATTTTTTTGATAATAATTAATTTAAAAATTACCAAAACATTAAAATAAAATTAAATAACTGTACTTCTTATCCCTGTTAGTCCTATAACAAAACCAGAATAATATTCTTGGTGGCATTCGTTGAACCCGTTTTCGTAAAATAATGATTCAATATTTTATTATTTTTTTTTTTTTCATTTCAGACAGAAGCGATGAAACTCACGATAACTTTATTCAGCCTTTCGTCTTCGTACTGCAGTCTTTGCTTTTCGATCTCCTCGATGGTGCGCCGCATGCACAACGCTTTTTGTTGCCTGGCCCTCGTTTCCAGCTCGTCTTCGAACAACACTTCGCGCATGGCTTGTCGGAACACGTCGGCGATCAGAGCCTCCGCTATCGGCGTCACTTCGGTGTCGAAGTCGAATAACTTTAAAAAAAAATATATATTGTTAGGAAAGCGCGCCGACGGTCATTTCCGATCACGTTGTTGGGCTGTTTTTACCCGAATCACAGTCCGGCGACAACGAACTTACGTCTTTTTCGTCTACTTGGGTAGACGCGTCAGTGCCGGCAGGCGTCCCAGTTACCGTGTTCGTTGACAKTTCTTGGTCGAATTCAGTCTGCGCCCCGAACGTTTGCGACACCGGATAATCGTACAGCTGTCGATAAAAAAGTAAAAGTAAAAAATATATATTTATGTATTATATATTAATTTAATAAAAATTAACGAACAAAATTATAATAATAATTTATAAAAATATTGTTTTATGCGTGGCAAAGTATATATTGGAATGTCATCAACATTGCGATACGTATATTTCATTCTGAATTTTTTATTGTGTCCCATATTATAATATTATATCAGAAGATGCAGATTGAAGAAACTAACACATAGAAAAAATTAGGGATGCGCAAACAAGACTAAAAAACGTACCGTTTGCTGTTATCATACCTCTATATTTTGCTATGGTAATAAATATTTTCTATCTAGCTTTAGAGAATTTCAGTTTCAACGTTTCACGACAGACATCAACAGACATTGTCTGTGTATACCAAAACGCATTTGCAGAGATCAATTAATATTTAATATTAAAATACGTACACCAATGATACACTCATATATAACACAATGCACTTTAGTTTTTAAGCGGATAAATGTTTATTGATTTTAACAGTATGCTATATATCGTACTGGAAATATTGAAACTAATGAAAAGTAAAGTAATACATTTTTAAAAGTTTTTTTAATCCTACAATTAGTGCAACTGATTATTGGCAATTTATTCATTTTAATAACTTTACGACTTTTCAGTTGGTTTGCAAAATAATAGAACCCATTAAGTTTAAATTATGTTTATAGATATCATATATTATAAGTTTAAAAATTCATAAAAATATTAAATATTAATTTTATTAAAAATAAATATTTCTCGATTTAATAATTTAGTAAATAATATTTCTTTTTATAATTGACTAAACATCTATGCAGGCCGCAATAAAAACGAATTATAATGATGATTTTTAACAAAATTATTAGCACACATTATTATGTATAACTTGACTAACTCGATTTAATTGTTTTTGCTAACCTTCTCACGTTCAGTAAAAACACAAACATTTAAACGTAATTTTACAATCCTTACTTCTTCTAGATGTACATCGGTTTGGATGTCCACGTTCTGTCGACCTCTAGGAATTTTCGGCGCTCCCAGGTGAAATCTCAACGCTCTGGTTTGATAGTCTATGGCTTTTTTCCTGGCCATGGCCCGTCGACGAGCTTCCKCTTCCCGTGCCGTTGATGAMTCTTTACCCMACTGCGGAATAATAATATTATGGACTTTAAGTGCCATTTGCAGATACTTAATAATTCGTTTAGATAAAAATGTATTGTAGCAATAACAAAGAGTGAGCTAATGTCAATTCCGCAGCGTTTTCAAAAGCCAAAAATACAACGTTACACGTAATAATAAAAACGAAATAAATTCAAAAAAAAAAAATGATCAACGAAAAATCTGTAGCGCATGCGTGTAAGCAAGACGCTCACCTCCGACGACAATTGTTTAGCATAGCCAAAATATGGGTTCCACTTTGGGCGCTAAATATTTTTAATAATATAATATTGAAATTAATTTCATCATGTAGATCAAAACATGTTATTTAAATAGGACTGATGCCCAAAAACAAAAAAATAAATAAATAATATGTTACACTTACGAACGATTTTTTCGCAAAATTACTGCCTCTGACCACTCGTTTGTCGTGCATGATGTTCGTGTAACCCATTTGTTTGCACATACTGTGAATAATAACAAAACAAAAATTAAAACGAAAAAATACATAACTTAGACGTTGTTTTGACCCAAATTCTAGTTCTCGAAGAATTGATTGAGCAAATGGGGTGAGCAAGATTGTCGAGAGGACGAACGAATGTTTTATGGTTTGTAAAAAAAAARG